GAGACCCGTCTCTACTAAAAATAGAAAGAAATTAATTGACCAACAAAGTATATATACAAAAAACTAGCCGGGCATGGTGGCGCATGCCTGTAGTCCCAGCTACTCGGAGGCTGAGACAGGAGGATCACTTGAGCCCAGGAGTTTGAGGTTGCTGTCTCGCTCAGGCTGGTTTCGAACTCCTGACCTCGAGCAATCCGCCCGCCTCGGCCTCCCAGAGTGCTAGGATTACAGGCGTGAGCCACCGCGCCCGGCCCTCTTTGTACTTTTTAATTTTTATTTTATATATATAAAGACAGGGTCTCACTCTTGCTCAGGCTGGTCTTGAACTACTGAGTTCAAGCAATCCTCCTGCATCGGCCTCCCAGAGGGCTAGGATTACAGGCGTGAGCCACCATTCCTGGCCCTGAACTCTTTCTAGACTACCTACCACACTAAATTTCTTGAGGGCGGGTGTCATTTGCATTTGAATAGTAAATGCCCCTGAGTGCTGGTTTGAAAGTGGCCATTACAGGAATCAGCCACTGGGTGGCACAGTTTATTCTTGTCGACTACTCTGGCCAACCACAGCTTTAGCAAAAGTAGTGCTCCTCAGTTGTAAATTGGAGTGGAAGGTGCCAGAATAAATACCCAGGGGCTTGTGTCTCATTATCTCTTCCCCCTTCCCCTCACCCCCACCCCCAGCTCCAGTACAAATCCCACCCCCTGCGAGATCCCTATGCTGAAGGTGCTGTCATAGGTGGGGCAGCACTAAGTAGGGGGGCTGGGAGTGGGAACCCCATCCCCAAGAGATGGCGAGACCAGGTGACTCTTCTCCTCCACCCAGAGGGTCTAGCATCCTTTGGGTTTTCCTGGTCTGGTTTAGCCATCGAGACTGTGGCCTCATCCAGATGGGACAGGCACCATAGGCCCCTAAGGGGGAGGCTCCTTTGCTGAGCCCATCCTCCCCACGTCCCTCAGCCCAGGAGGGTCCAGGCCTTGGGACCCAGCTGTCCCTGGCTGGCTGTAGGGACCTAAGGCCAGCTCAGGTCACCAGAGCCTGAGGTGCGACATAGACATTTCTGCAAAGGCGTCTGCCTGACAAGGCACTTCCAAACCTGCCTCCAGGCTGCCATGGAGACCGAGTCTGTGACCTGCCCACCCAGGGATGCTTCTGGTCGGCCGCAGGCTCTCTGAAGGGGGCCTGGGGAGAAGGGGTTTGTTCGTGACCTTTCTCTTTAGGAAGCTGAGCTGGGAGGAACTGTGGCTGGTGAGAGGAATCGTGGGGCGTGGCTTGCTCATCCCCCTGGTCCTCTTTTCTCCCCGACCCCAGTGAGCGACCTGAAGAACGCTGCCCCCTGTGCGGTCAGCTACCTGCTCTTTGACCCCAGCGACAAGGTCATGCAGCAGAACCTGGTGTATTACCAGTACCACCGGGACAAGTGGGGCCTGTTGGACGAGCACTTCCAGCCCAGACCCGTAAGTGCTCTGAGCCCCGCTTTCCTTCCCTTGCACGCTCAGTTTCGGGAGACTACTTTGCACCCTGAGAGAAACAAACGGTTTATACTTTACTGAAGTAGCACACATTTGTTTATTTTTACAAAAACAGGATCCAATTTTACATACTGTTTTGTTGCAATTTTTTGCAACTTGGTTGGTCTTTCTGACGATGCATCATGAACATTTTTTTCATGTCACACCCATACACCTGTGTTATTCTTTTTTCTTTTTTTATTTGAGATAGAGTCTTGCTCTGTGACCCCAGGTAGAGTGCAGTGGCGTCTTCATAGATCACTGCAGTGTCAGACTCCTGGGTTCAAGCGATCCTCCTGCCTCAGCCTCCCAAGTAGCGGGGACTACAGGCATGGGCCACCACACCCAGCTGATTTTTCTATTTTTAGTAGAGATGGTGTCTCGCTCTTGCTCAGGCTGGTCTCGAACTCCTGAGCTCAAACAATCTGCTGCTTTGGCCTCCCAGGGTGCTGAGATTACAGATGTGAGCCACCATACCCAGGCTATTATTACTCTTTCACAGCTTCATGGCAGGCTGTTTTGTGGTTGGACCATCATTTGATTCCCTTGACGGACAAACTCACAGCTTTGCATGTCTTGTCAGGAAACTCCTTTAATTCCATATCACTCTCAGAAGATCTTTTCTAATCGATATTTGCCCTTAACTTGTATTTTCATTGGGATTTCTGTATACTATCCTAGGTTGTTGTAAATACATCTTCCACTTGAGGCTGGCCGTGCTTTCTTAAGAAATTGAGATATAATTCATACACTACATTTTTTCACATCTTTAAGGTGTACAATTCAGTGGTTGTAAGTATATTCCCAGAGTTGTGCAACCGTTACCACTATCTAATTTCAAACATTTTCATCACTCTAGAAAGAAATCCCGTATCCTGTTTTCCCCTCCCTCCCCAGTTCTGACATTAAAAGGTCAGTCCTATAAACTGTTCTGTGTTTGTGTCTGAACAGGAAGCAGTTCAGTTCTTTAACGTGACTACGCTCCAGCAGGAGCTGTATGACTTTGCTAAGGAAAATATCATGGACGATGATGAGGTAAGTTTTCATGCTCAGCACATGTCTGGCTGAGAGGAAATATTACTCACATCTTTGCTGAAATCTCTGGAAGGCCGAGTTGTCCCTGAAATAAAAAACAGAAGGGGACACTTGAGAAAGACAGCTGCTGTGGGTGTTTTAATGAAAGGCAGAGCACTGCCATGGAAAAGAATGGCTTTCTAGGAACCCCAGGCAGCAGTGCCCCACTTCTGATGATGAAATGTGCGTGGAACCGCACCTGGAATCCACAGTAGTCATCCAACCTTTGTCTTTTAACTTTATAAACAGTGAATTTTTTTTTTTGAGACAGAGTCTCGCTTTGTTGCCCAGGCTAGAGTGAGTGCCGTGGCATCAGCCTAGCTCACAGCAACCTCAAACTCCTGTGCTCTAGCGATCCTCCTGCCTCAGCCTCCCGAGTAGCTGGGACTACGGGCATGCGCCACCATGCCCGGCTAATTTTTTTCTATATATATTAGTTGGCCAATTAATTTCTTTCTATTTATAGTAGAGATGGGGTCTCACTCTCGCTCAGGCTGGTTTTGAACTCCTGACCTCGAGCAATCCGCCAGCCTCAGCCTCCCAGAGTGCTAGGATTGATTACAGGAGTGAGCCACCGCGCCCGGCCCAGCCTTTGTCTTTTAACTTTATAAAAACAGTGAATTTTTAATTGCTCAGCATTCTGAAGATACTTGGGAAATTCTCCCTCTAACTTTTCTATCAGACTTTTACTGTCTCGCTCTTTCTTCTTTTTAGAAAATTATGTCTCCTGTAAGCGTTTTAGCATTCTCTAGAATTGCTTGAAATTTGGATTAAATCTTACTCAGTTGACTCCTTCTTTGACCAAGACTTTACGGCTTATGGAACAGTCATTTTGTGGTGGGGCAGCCCAGTCACAGAATAGTCGCCATTAGGAGGAGGGATTTTTAGAGAGATGTGTTTGGAACAAACTGGAAAATGCTTTGTGAGAAAGCTGGGGACATGCCAGCCATTGTCTCCAGGTGTGCTCTTCCCACTGCTCCAGTTTTAGGTGAAGTGCCTCTGAATAAGACATTGTCCTGGGTTTTGTTTCCTGTGCACAAATGCGTATAGGATGGACTCATCACTGGCATTAAAGAACTGAGCCTCAGTTCTCTATAAAATGGGAGTAATTATATTGCCTTCCCAGCGTTGTGAGAATGAAATACCATGTTGCACGTGGAAGTGCTTTACAAACTAGGAAGTGATGCATGTGCCTTGTGTCTTGGGTTGGGTGTCCTTGAGGCAGAGCCTGAGACAGGATCCCAAGATACCGCAGAGGCCAATCCCCAAAAGGAAGGATCACTGGCCAGATACCAGCAAGGTTGGCTGCTCTGGTTTGGAAAGTGTAGAAAAATATACTTAGAAGAGTGAGGAAGGGTGGAGTTCCCAGTTATCTAGAGGCAAGCTACGACTGACATTTTGGTATATATCCTTCCATTTTTCTCCATGATTAAAGAAAAAAAAATTTTCATAGAGTTTTAAATTTATATTTTTTAACATATACTTATTATAAACTCAACTATAATTATATATCATGGCTTTTCCATTTAACATTATAATATGAGCAGTTTCCCTTGTTTTATTTTTCTAGAACAGCTTTATTTAGATATTATTCATGTAGCATACAATTCTCCCTTTTCATGCGTATAATTCAGTGGTTTTTTTAACTAAAAATCCACAAAGTCGTACGTTCATCACAACAGTCTAAGTTTAGAATATTTTCATCACCCCAAGAAAACCCTATGCTAAGTTACTGCCCATTCCCCCTCAACCTTGGCGCTGTCCCCAGTCCCACGTCTATCTCTAGGCCCTGGAAACCACTAATCAGCATTTATTCTCTATGAATTTGCCTGTTCTAGACATTCCATATCAATGGAATCATATGGTATGTGGTCTTTTGTGACGGGCATCTTTCACTGAGCACATGTTTTTTCAAGACTCACCTGTTGTAACATATGTTACATGTAAATTTCTTTTTTACTGCCAAGTAATATTCCACTATGTGGCTATATACCACATTCTGTTTATCCATTCTTCAGTTGATGGATGTTTGGGTTCCTTTCCACTTTTTTTACCATTTGAATAAGGATGCTGTGAACATTTGTGTACAAATTTTGTGTGGACGTAACTTCAAATTTCTTATACCTAGGAGTATATCCATAGGTATATGCCTAGAAACCAACTTCTGTGTCATATAGTAACTATACATTTAACCTGTTGAAAAACTGCCAGACCGTTTTCCAAGTGGTTGCACCATTTACATTCTCATCAACATATATGAGAGTTCCAACTCTGCTACATCTTCATCAACACTTAATATTGTCTGTCTTTTTTTATTAACAGCCATGCTAGTGTATCTCATGTGGTTTAGACTTGCATTTCCCTAGTGAACTAATGATGTTGACATCCTTTCATGTGTTTGGTTGGCCATGTATACATTTTCTTTGAAGAAATATCTATTCAAACTTTTTCCACTTTAACATTATTACTTATCTTTTTATTGAGTCCTAAGAGTTCTTTAGATATTCTGGCTATAAGTCCTTATCAGATATATGAGTTGGAGATATTTTTCCACAATCTGTGGGTTGTCTTCTCCTCTCTCTCCTTCTCCTCTCCTCTTCTCTCTCTCCTCCCTCTTCCTGCTCCCTCCTCTCTCCTCCTCTCTCTTCTCTTTCTTTTTCTTTTTTGAGAAGAGTCTCACTTTGTTGCCCAGGCTAGAGTGAGTGCGTGGCTCAGCCTAGCTCACGCAACCTCAAACTCCTGGGCTCAAGCAATCTCCCTGCCTCAGACTCCCAAGTAGCTGGACTACAGGCATGCGCCACCTGCCGGCTGATTTTTCTATTATATATTAGTTGGCCAATTAATTTCTTCTATTTAAGTAGAGACGGGGTCTTGCTCTTGCTCCAGACTGGTTCGAACTCCTGACCTCGAGCAATCCGGCCCGCCTCAGCTCCCAGAGTGCTAGGATTACAGGTGTGAGCCACCGCACCTGGCCTGTCCCTGCCTTTTGCATCTCCTTGTCAGTTTGTCATTGGTTGTTGGCTGCCAGGAAAGGTTGGTGTGTGACCTCCCTGGTGAAGGTGCTCCTTTTGGCCAAGGGCAGTTGCCCAGGGAAGGGGCAGTGCTAGCTGTTAGCAGCCGGCCCTGCTAGGAGCTGGGGATGGTGCGCTGGGAAGGAGATCCGAGCGAGCACCACAGCGTCCACCATAAGCCCGTCCAGGGGATGGATTCCTTTCATCTGTGTCACCCTGGGCACGTGCTATTCGTGAGCTAAGGAAACAGCATCTCCATCCCCTCAAGTCACAGCAGCCGCCCAGTAGGAAACAGCGACTCCTCTAAACAGATGTCACGGCTGTACACGTAATCATTCTACCATGCCAAGTTTTCCCTTAGGGGTCCAGAAAGCAACTGAAGAACGCTCTTTTCAAGCTGTAGTGTTTACTTCAATAATTTGAGTTTCTAATCTCAGACGTGACATTGTAGAAGTATTTGATGAAAAGTCTTTAATTTTATTTATTTATTTTTTCTGCATATTACGGGGTACAAATGTTAAGGTTACATATATTGCCCTTGTCCCCTCACCCCTCAAGTCAGAGTTTCAAGTGTGTCCATCCCCAGTTGGTGCACATCACACTCATTACGTTTGTATATACCCATCCCTCCCCCCCCCACCGGCCCGACACCTGATAGATGTTATTCCTATATTGTCCACTTAGGTGTTGATCAGTTAATACCAATTTGCTGGTGAGTACATGTGGCTAATTTTCCATTCTTAATAGATTTGATGAAAATCTAAGACTCCTTTTGTGCCTCATGCACTTGATAAGATTTTTCTAGTTATTCCTGAATGCTGCGAGGTTTTTGTAAATCTCTCTGTGTTAAAATATCCAAAGGGGCACACAGGCTCTCTGCCTGGAGTGGTGAGCTCTGTGAAGGTCAAGGTTTCACAGACGTGGTGAGCATCGGCAGGGCTGGCCTGTGCTCACCCTTGGGGAAGGGGCCTTGGCCTTCTTGGTGAGTCATTCGTCCTCTGCAGGAAAGAAAATGGGTGCCATCAGCTGGTGGCCCAGGGGGTTTGTGGGGGAGAAGCCATCGTGGAGGAGGAAATTGGGAATCGTGCTGGGCTGCTTCGAGTTGTGGTATAAGGCTGACTGCACAGGGCAGCAAAAAGGCTTCTGGTACCAACAGTCCCACTGTCCCCAAAAGCTCTCTCTGTCAGCAGAGTGACTGCTTTAGTGGCACCAGCAACATAACATGCACACATATACACTCCATCATTCATCCTTCAACACTTTTTTTTTTTTTTTTATTGAGACAGAGTCTCACTTTGCTGTCCAGGCTAGAGTGAGTGCCGTGGCGTCAGCCTAACTCACAGCAATCAAACTCCTGGGCTCAAGCGATCCTCCTGCCTCAGCCTCCCGAGTAGCTGGGACTACAGGCACGCGCACCATGCCCAGCTAATTTTTTCTGTATATATTAGCTGGCCAATTAATTTCTATTTATAGTAGAGACGGGTCTCGCTCATTGGGCTCAGGCTGGTTTCGAACTCCTGACCTTGAGCAATCCGCCCACCTCGGCCTCCCAGAGAGCTAGGATTACAGGCGTGAGCCACCACACCCGGCCCTTCAACACGTTTATTGACCACCTGTATACCAGGCTCTGGGGGAAGAAAAATCAGCCCTGGCCCTGGTCCCTGAAAGGTTCGGGGTCCCGAGGCTGAGGTCGGAAGGGAAGGATAGACAGTGTTCCTGAGGGGGAATTGCCAGTGGGAGGGGAAGATGGGGTGCAGGGAGGGACGGGCAGAGGAGAGGGTGCTCAGCAGGGCCTCTCACAGGGTGGCTGGACTGTTCGCTTCACAGGAGCCATCAGAGGGGGTCGCAGAGCACCAGATACTAAGGTCACATGGAGTGGAAGCAGAGGTCCCCTCCATAGGGAGAAGTCAGGCCATGGAGAAAACCTGCTTCAGCCCAAGAAAACAGTGGCAATGGCCTCTTAGAAACTGTTTCTGCTCACCAGCACTTGTAAAAGTCAGGTGGCCTACCTAACAGAGGTGTCCTGTTGTTTCTTACAGGGAGAGGTTGTGGAATATGTGGACGACCTCTTGGAAGTGGCGGAGACCAGCTAGTCCACAGCAACCAAAGGCACTTCCTCTTGATGTTCAGGAAACCCAGAATCTCTGTCCTCCTTTTCCCAACAGCCCAGGTGTTGATACCTCAAAGCCTTCCCTTTACTATATAAAGCACAAAAGGGAAGTCCCCATCTCTTCCTCTACATGTAACCAGGGGTGAGCGTGCCTTCCCCATGTTCACACCTGTCTTCCTCCTGTTCACACCTGTGTTCTCCATGTTCACACCTGTCTTCCCATGTTCACACCTGTCTTCCCATGTTCACACCTGTCTTTCCTCTGTTCACACCTATGTTCTCCATGTTCACACCTGTCTTCCCCCTGTTCACACCTGCTTCCTCACATTCATACCTGCCTTTCTCACCATTTCGGTTTCAAGGACAGTCTTCCGTGGTTTGTTTTTTTCTCAGAAAATCAGTATTATTTTTTAAATAAGAAAAACTTTTCTAAAAGATAATAATTGTGAAAACCTACTTTGGCCTCTCTGCTCTTCCAGATTTTAGTCTCCTTGCTCCCCACCTAGGAAAGATGGTGGAAGACAAAGGCTGTACTTCTCCAGGCTTCATGATGCCCTCCACCTGGTCTGAACTGTACCAATTCTGGCACCCATTGCAAAACAAGTTGGGTAGACGGTGTAGAGTATGGAAATGTGGCTTTTGCCCAACACTTTGGCATCTCCAAAATCTTACAGTGGTTGGCCGATCCTGTTTGAGGACAATACTCAGTTGTAAGTCTCAGTGTTGGAAATGGAAGGAGCACAGAGGCTGTCCAGTTTCATGCATTCTTTTCGTAGATATGTACTGAGTACCTACTATGTGCTAGGCATTGACCTGGGCGCTAGAGATATTTCACAGAATAACACAAAAAAGCATCCCTGCTTTCATAGAGCTTACATTCTACAGACAACCAATTTAACAGGAATAAATATATACAAGGTATCAGATGGGGGTAATTGGTAGGCGGAAAAATAAAGCAAGGAAGGGGGGTGAGGAATCCTGGAGATGAGGCTGCAGCTCTAAACAGGTGTTCGGGGAAGGCCTCATGGGACGGTGGCATTAGAACAGAGATCTAAGGGAAGCAGTTCTCGGGAGCGGGAGGTGTCGTACTCTGAAGTTGAGGACCTGCCAACTGTGGTCAGGGAACAGCAGCGTGGCCAGGGAGAGGAGTTGGCACAGGGAGAGTGGAAGGAGAGAAGGCTGCAGAGGTGTGAGTGTGGGGGTGGGGAAGAGGACACATGGCAGAGGACCTTGACTTGGCTTCTGCTGGGTGAGGTGGGAACCTCGGGAGGGTTTGAGCAGAGGAGCGCCTTGACCGATTTATACTTCGCAGGGGCCACTCTAGAGGCCGTATTTTGAAAAGCCTGAGAATGAGCAAGGGTGGAAGGAAGCAGGGAGACTCGTTTGGGGGGCCACTGCAAGATTCCAGGCTCGGACCTGGGCCACAGCGGCAGCGGCAGCAGTGAGAAGTAGTCAAATTCTAGATTTATTTTGAACGCGGAGTCAATAGGATTTGCTGACAGGTTGGATGTGGAGTGTAAGCGAAGGAGATGGGTTCATGATGACATCAGGGCTCTTGGCCAGCAGAACGGGAAGGATGGAATTACCATTTACTGAAATGGGGAAGCCGGGACGGGTGGGTGGGTAAGGAAGGTGGCACAAAGCAGGCTGTCTGCGGGTTGGGACGGGACGTTTCCAGGCTGCAAATGAAAGTGGAGAGTTTTCCCAGGGCCCCGTCCCCAGCACAAACTGAGGCAGGTGTCTGAGTGCATTCGGTGTGTATTGAGAGGGTGCTCTCAGGACTGACCGTGAAAGCCTCTACCAGGCAGTTATTGGCTGTGGGAAGTCCCCTGGAGGTGGGGACCTTTGAAGGCCAGTGGATGAGTTGAGGGCAGTTCTCTGGGAGAGGGGACGTGGGCAATTGGCAGCCAACCTGCGGGGCAGTGGGGAGGGCAGGTCCTGGGGGACTCTGCTGGGTGAGCTCCGCAGCGCCCTCTGCTGGCCGCCGGCGTGCCGACAGCATTTAAAGCTGTGAGGCCGAGCCGGATCCCCTGGATTGTGTGGGTATATTGAGAAACCGCTGAAAAGAGCCAAGGACAAAGTCCTGGGGCTCTCCGGGAAATGAGAAATCAGCCAAAGAGGCGGAGAGGTCAGAGGAAGCCAGGAGAGTGTGGTGGTCTGGAAGCTGAGCTTTCGTTATTCAACCCTCCTCCAAATAATCCCTCCTCCAAATAAAGCACATGTCTAGTTGGGACGCTCCAGCAGTGAAGACTGGTGTGGCATTTGGGAGACAGGACATTTCCCACAATGGCCTGGAAAGGAGTAAAAGGAGATAGTATTTTGGGTACACTTTGTGTACTGGTGATAAATTGGGGGTAGAAAACTGACACATCTGTGCTTTTCTGGGCTCCCCTTCCCCCCAGCACACTATTCCAACCTCTGGGGACTCAGGCACATCCTTCTACTTCTCCGTCCTCCCTGGCCTGCTTCCCTCATCCCCTCGCCCCTCCTGAGAGCACCTCCTCTGTCACCTGCATAGGCATCCCCATGCCAGGTTCTCCTGGGAGGGTACCCAGCCCAGGACGATAGCCTGCCACTTCTGTCTGTGGCTGAAGTTGCCCAGGTCACCAGAGCCTCTCCCCCCAGGGGGCTGTTTGGCCAAAGGGGTCAGCATTATTATGGATGGACACACTTCTGTCCTCGGCAGCCTCCCAATCAGGACCCTCCGCCCAGTGATGCATCGGATCGTAGGTGGCTTCCTGCCGGGAGAGATGGCCTTTGCCCTGGAATGTGGGGTTCTCCTTTCTGTCCTCGCCCCAACCTCTACTCCACCCGAGAAACTGCCTTTTGAACTCAGTGGGGAGAGGGTCACAAGGCAGGACTGTGAAGCAGTGAGGACCCAGAGGGTGGACGCCCTGCTCTCGGATTCCTGGGTCTGTAGACAGTGTAGCCGGCAGCTGTTTAACTCCCCAGGTGGCTCCTGGCTGCAGCTGCCCTTCCCAGCTGTATGGGAAAGCGAAAGGAGACATCCACAGGGTCCCCAGGCTGGGCTGGGTGTTCCACTCACTGTACCTCTGTGTGCCCTGCAGAGCTGCCATTGGGTCTTCTTCCTGTGAGCCCAGGGTGAACTCTTTGTAGAATTCGCTTTGGCGAGGGAGGGAGGATCCTCCTTCCTTCTCTGAAGTTGGCCTCCTTTCGCTGGGGATTGAAAAGCCGCTCCACCCCCATCTGAGCAATGTCACCTAAGCAAAAGACCCTGGTACTGTCAATATTGTCAGCACTTTGCTTTGGTTGAAGGCTGTCGCGCGGAGTGACTAAATTTTTTATTTCAAAAGAAACCTGCCGGGCACGGTGGCTCACGCCTGTAATCCTAGCACTCTGGGAGGCCGAGGCGGGAGGATCGCTCAAGGTCAGGAGTTTGAGACCAGCCTGAGCAAGAGCCAGACCCCCGTCTCTACTAAAAATAGAAATTAGCTGGACAACTAAAAATATATACAAAAAATTAGCCAGGCATGGTGGCGCATGCCTGTAGTCCCAGCTACCCGGGAGGCTGGGGCAGGAGGATCGCTTGAGCTAAGAAGTTTGAGGTTGCTGTGAGGCTGACGCCACGGCAGTCTAGCCCGGGCGACAGAGCGAGACTCTGTCTCAAAAATAAATAAATAAAACAAAAGAAACCAAACCAACCTTAAAAAAAATAGCAGTCTGGTTTGACCAAACCTATCATAAAACCCCAAGTGTGCAGGCTGCACTCAACAACCTCAACCCAACATCTCCCTCCAAGCGTGTTTCTTGGAAGGGCCTAGAAGATTCCTGGATTGAGACCCCAAAGGTGTAGCCTGAGCCTGGCCTGTCTTTTGAAAAAACAAACAGATTTGTAAGCTTTGTGGGAGTTTCTAGGCCCACCACTGTAAGGATGTCTCCCTTGTCCTTTGATACACGGCGTGAAGCCCAACGGTCACTGTTTGGTTTCTTAGGCTGGTCCAGGGACGCTGCCTGCCATGGTGGGGCATCTGTCCAGCCCCATTGCCACTCAGGAAACCCAGGCAGGAGGCAGCCGCTGGGAAGGGTCTGAAACCAGCCCCTGTGGCCACTGCTGATGTTCACAAGTGTGGAGAGAGGGGACAAGTTGAAGGAGGTGCGTGTATGCACATGAATTTAAAAGTGACTGACTGAAATGTCGCACATATTCACCATGCTAGTATCCTTCTGATTTTTGAGACTTTCTAATTACTGCCACTAACTTGTGCTCGCCTCTGGAAGCCAGAAAGAGACCCGCTGCGAACGTTGACCACAAAGACCGCCTTAGGAAGGAAACGTGTGCTTTTAGCAGTTCTTATTAAGGGAAATTTTAAGAGCACAAAATTTTTTACTGAACCCAACTCAGTGGCAAACAGAAAATGATTTGTTAGATTGTCAATGGGAAAGGGTTTATTATGACTGCTGGTGGAATAAACAGTGGCCGGTTTCTGCCAGCATTTATGGAAATAACCTTTTTTAAGTTTTAAATGTGAGCTGTAAACCGAAGCTACTTCAGTTAAAAAAAAAAAAAAAGAAAACTCAATACTTAAACTGTGGGGGAAAGGTGGATTGGTGCCAGAGAAAACATTCTCATTTAATAGTGTTTGAACATGGAACTGCAACGCAGTTCGTAGCGAGGCACTGAGAAAAACCCACAACTAATCCTTCATCGCAGCTGTCTGAACTCTTGATCATCTGCCATCCCCTCAAACAGCGACTTCTTTTTTCTGGTGACTCCAGGCTTGAATGACCTAGTGTGGAGAGTTTAAACTATGTACAAGGGAGGAAAGAAAAAAAAAAGGAAAGGAACCTTAACTAAGCCCCAGCCAAAGGTTTTATGCACTGGACTTCCTGTGCCTGTAGCCGGGGGCAAGACTGTTCCCCACGCCTGTCCCCATGGCATCGCCCTGAAAGGGGAGACACCGTGACGGCCTTGACTGACCCATTCCCGCCCCAGAAATGAGAGTCCGGAGCAGCTATGGTTGTAGTCAGTGTTTCTCCCTCTAGGGGAGGCTTGTGAGCAGCCACATCCTAGCACCTGACACTGTCCCCCTGCAAATGTCTGGCTTTGATTGCTTCTTGAATGAATGAGTTGGCTCAGTGTCGTCTTGGAGCTGGTAGGTAAGATGTTGGTAC